CTTGTCCTATCATTACACTTCTGGCAAAGAGTCCTTCTCCAGCTCTTCTATAGGCACCCTTCAGGTATTGAAAGGCCGCTATAAGGTCTCCCCGGAGCTTTCTCTTCTCCAGGCTGAACAATCCCAGCTCCCTCAGCCTGTCTCCCAGCTCCCTCAGCCTGTCAATACTCAACATTTTTTCAGTGTGGCAAAAGGTTAATGTGAGTTCCAAAAGGTAGGTTTATCAGCAATTTTAAAAGAAAGGTACTTGGCACTAAAGGGCTGTGCTGGGGATGAGGACCCCTGGGTAGAGGTGACACTGATGGCCTTAAAGAAGCACATCACAGAGTAATTGATACAAATCCATTGTTCAGTGCTTTGCTGCTTTTTCTGGGGAAGCGGCCTGACGTGCAGGAGGTCTTGACTGTTGGTCTGCTTGGTGCTGCTTTTGCTGAAGTGGGGTTCATGCTGGAGAAATTCTGGAGATAGGCCATGCCCGGTGGCAGGCGGTCATGTCACCTTTGATATGTTCCTGAGTTCTGCCAGAGCAGGATGTGATGTGGTTGAGTGGAAAAGTTGTGTTTGTATTTTTTTGCAACATATCAGATTATATAACTGTATGTCAAAAGCAGAAGTGAATTATTTAATTAGCAAGTGTGCGGACCATTTTTACTTCTATATGTGTTATACCTTAATGTAGGCAACTGGATTCTGAACTGAGAAGTTCATGCTTGAAAACCTGAATTAAATACAGACTCAGGTGGATACCTGAGTAATATTGTGCTATCATGAATAATAGTAGGATTTCTGGTGAGATCTAACTAGAGATGAGATAGATCGAAAAGAAATTAATAATGATTGAGTACATTGACCAATTTTTCCCTTGCCTTAACACTTTATTGTGCCTGATTTACCAGATGGAAGATGTAACTTGGCAATTCTTGAGAACTGAGGCCAACCTCAAGTTTCTAGTGTCAGCATTTCAGCCATGAGAGGGAATGTATGTCATACGGAGTATGAATAAAACAGTTGAGATTTTATTCCCAACTACTTAATAAATTCCTTCATGAGAAGTCAGAATATCTCTCTAGGGACCTTTCTGTGTTGCAAATATATTTAAAACTTGCATTTGCACTGTGATTTGCAGTTGCATATTAGTTGCATTTGCACTGTGACTTACATTGGCATATTGAGAAGGAAACGCTCGGTGCTCTAAAGAGGTGCCTCTGCAGTGGTCCCGCTGCAGCTGCAGGTTGGGTGCAGAACAGCAGTCAGTTCTGTGGTGTATTGGAGGACCTGGTCTACTTGTGCATTAAAAGTTTTGCACTGGGATGGATTGAAATTGAATAAAAAGATGGGAAATCTCTTAACTAATCTCTGCTAGAACTGCCATAAAAGATGCCCGTGCTCTGATTCAGAATGATGGGAGAGAAATCCAAAGAGCTTGAGGCTGGAAGAATAGCTGCTAATCTCACATTTCTACAAAAAGACTGAGCAATTCCTGGTTTATAGCCCTGAAAACGTAATGGAGCCCTGGGGATCACTGACACAACAAGCTTCTGAGAGCCACTAGCACTTAGCAAAATTGACTTCAGTTAATCAAAAGATTCTTTAGGGAAGAAAAAAAAACCCAACAAAACCCCTGCTGGTTTGGAAAGCTGCACAACAAGTAACTCTGTTGATGGTTAAAGAAATTTCAGTTCCTTGCAGTGGGGCTCAGTAACCTGTAATGATGGTAGCTAATGGGCAAACTTAAATTGAAGGAAAAGTAATTTAAGTGCTAGACTGGTGGGGAAAAAAAGCAAAAGGGAGGAGAACACAGTGGCCCTTTGCTCACCCTTTATTAAAACATTTCTTGAGCGAGTTGTGTATGAATCTGAAAGCACATGATAGACTACAGCAGTAATAGGTGCAAAGAGAACAGAATTGTGCAGCGTGCGAGATCTGGAATATTAGCATGCCCCATTATGAAGAAACATTTGCCGTTATTGTGACTCATGCCATTTTCCGCTAGTCCCAGGTAAAAGGAAAACACTGAATTATAACCGATACCCGGCAGTTCTTGGAAGTCCCCTGCTTTATTTTTTAAGAGCCCATGGTGAAATCTCATGGGATTCTAAACGGGCATGTAGGTTTGAGGCCAGCTTGGTTTTAATTGTGTCCCTTGCTTAGGAGAAAACACACTTTCTGCTTTTAACTGTTGAGTACTAGAGGTTTTAAGAGAAATTCGGAGGGGAATCACCCTTTCGGTAGTCTATTGAAATGCCCAATATATATGAACAAAGCAGAATAACAAAAATAGGACAAATATTGCAGAAAACAGTTTTGAAAAGTTTCTGTTTGCTTTGTTTAGGGACTTAAGACTGCAAGGAACCTCCTGTTATCAGTCACAAGTTCATAGATATAATCTGTCACATAATACTTGCTTTTTTTCCGAGAACAAATGTGTTATGATTTATATGTCTCACGGTAATGGAATAAATGTTTTTATCTCAGTGGAGTTTAAAATAGTCACTTGTGAATGCCAGGGGAATTTATCTGCAACAGCAATTCCAGCATTATAAAACAGCTTGCAGCTTTTTCTTCCTGAATATGCCACTGTAAAACAAAATTTTAATTTTGGCTCTCTGTATGTGTTGCAACACAGATGTCTCCCTGTAACCTTCCTCCCTGACCAAACACAGAACAGTTAGGAGTAGGAATGGACACAGTTAAGAATGAGAAGCATCATTATGGGAAAACACTTCTGTTTTCCTTACCTCAGCAGTGTACTGGGAGGAGGAAGATGGGAATATAAAGATCAAAATATTTAAATTTAGTTTTGGATGTGAATGTGAAATCCTAGATTGTTATGGCAGGAGAAAGGAAACTGAAGTCTCATGCAACTGTTTTGCACCATCTTCCGGGGCATGATACATGGAACAGACTAGACTGTACGTGTGGGTGTGTTGTGAAATGGAAGTGGAATAAAAATTGTTAGATACATCATTCCAATTGCTCTGTTTAGTGTTTTTCTGTAATTTTGCTCTTTATTTTGATCAGAGGTTGCTGAGATATAATTCAGTCAGATAATCAGCCTTTTCAGCCTTTTATCTACATGCAGAGATAACGGTAATCCTCTCCCGTGCTCTCAAGCTCGCTAGCAATTCTTTTCGCAGAAGCCTCTGGGCTTCTGGAGGCTCCATGCTATGTCTCTCGGCTCTTTGAGCATCTACTGGTGTGAACTCAGTGATTCTGGCCACAGAAGGATGACTTTTCTCTCCATCAGGATGAGCTATTTGAATGCTGCTTAATAAACGTTGTCATCTGATGGGGGGGGGGGGGGGAAAAACAGCTCATGCCTTACAGGAAAACAGGTGGCACCAATAAGAAGAAAGATGAGCCAAAAATCACGCAATTATTTTGTACTGGCTTAATGGCTGCCTTGTTCTGCCCAAAGGTAAAGGCATAGTTATCAGCGCCATTTATCAGGTGCACCATTTTAGTATAAACTTGTTTAAAAGAGGGTAGAGCCCCTTTTTCATTGTAATTAGACAGTAACCCATTGATTCCAAGTGGGCCTTCATTTTCTAATTATTTAGTACATCATATAATGTCATTAAACATCTTTGAGAGGACAGGATTGCTCTAAAAGCTTTAGCTCCAGAGCTCTAATATTAGGCTTTTGGCATTCATCCCTGTGTGTGAAAAGCAGTCAGTTTGTTTACCAGGAATTTGGATTCGCATTACTGGGGGAATTAGCAGCGAGCTATTAGTCTGATTCAAGCACTTAACAATCGCTGATCATCTCCTCCCAGCCTGGGGATAATGGAGGTGATCAGCTGTAAATGGAAAGCACGTGGGGCTATTTTCATGAAGGCACTTGGAGAAAGTGCTGCGTCCCCGACCTCTGCCAACCCTGGGGTTTGAGAAACCCGGGCCCCGGCTGCTTCCTGGAGAAGTGATGGTCGCTGGAAGAAGAGCTTCCATTAGAGACCAGCCCACACTGCGCCCGCGGCTGGAGAGAGGTTCGGCCACAAAATCCCCGAGGTAGCAGCGATGATTAGCTGCTGATTGAGGTAGTGGTGAGAGCTGCTGGTCGAATTTACCAGTGGCTCTTTCCATGGGGGAAGGAGTTGGAAGCACAGCGGGTCGGGCTCTGTGGCAGCGCTGAGGTTGCGTGGCGCTCAGCGGTGCGTTCCTCCTGCTCTGCTGTCGTCCCCAAAAGCTTTGTCTGGCTCATGGACTCCTGAAAGATTACTTTGAAAGTTTTATTCTTGTCTCTGTGTGAAGTTGCCTACTGTTTTGGCAAATGGGGTGACTTGTGATTTTTAGGATGTATTGAAAAAGTTAGTTCTGTTCTTTGTAGGTGTGAACCTGTCCTGGTCTCTCCTCAACACAAAATGGCCTTTTGGTGCTGCAGATTTTGAGACACGCCAGAGAGCTGTAACCAGGAGTAACTGTTTGAGGGAAAGCTTAGCTTTTTGTCATCTGCAATAGGTATTGTGCCTCCTTTAAAAGGGAAACTGCAGTCACTTGATTCTTACTGAAACATGTGCCTTTCTTGGAGGCAGTGGGAATGATTTTAATGAGGCAAAGACACAATTTTGGACTTCCACATTCAAGGCAACGCCTGAATTTCTGGCAACGCCTGGCTCATGACCTTGAGCAAGAAACGCATGTTGCTTCTGCTTGTTCATCCAAGGAACAGCTTCCCCAAGGCAGAGGCTGAGCTGCTGCTGGAGAAGGAGGGGGCAAATGTCCTTTGTAAATGCCACCTTAGACCATGTTAAGGGATCAAAAGCCATGTCAGAGTTGTAGAAGCTGCATCTGAAGTACCTGACAGTGAGTGATGTCTGCAAAAGCTGTTGTTAAGAGATTCTGTTGAATTCTGCTCTTTAAATTTCTTTCCTGTAATACCTCCAGCTGAAGGAGACGAGGCGTGTTGCTTGTGTTAAATGCGAAGGAAGGCAGGAGACTTCTAGAGTTGCAAGATAAATTTTATTAGTGAGATTTGGCATTATTTTAAAAATAATCTACATTACAACTAGAAGGTTCCCTCCTTTTATACACTTGCTGAGAGCTCAAGACCGTCAGGGCAGAGAATTTCTAATTTTTGTATTTAGACCAAAGGTACTCACGGGATGACGTACTCCAGTTTCCATGGAGTAGAAGCTGAGGGGTTTTTGCACTTTGCTCAGTCATAGGGTTAGTAAGAACAGTTCTGAATGGGTTTAGATAACTGTGCCAGTCTGTGATCATTACTGGTGCTAATGAACTGAACTGATACTGGCATGACATTTCTTAGTAGCAGTTATACTTGTGTGCTGTGTAATTGAGTGACTGTGATATTTGGAGATCAGGTGTTAAGAAAGTCTAAGTGCAACTGGGTTTGTACTCCTCACAGGTGAGTACCTGTGAACGCAGGTGTCTTTAGAGGTGAATTTTCTTTGCAGTTACTGATGAACAAATGTGCATATGTACCTGCGAAAGGGACATAGGACACTTGGGAGAAAAACCCAAGCTGACACATTTCGCTTTAAGTCTAGAGTAGGATTTGTCCGAGTGTCGAGCGTTTTCCCGCGTAATCCAGGACATGACAGGAGGCTGCAATTGCAATCAACAGCCTTCTTAGGGGAAAGGGGCTACAAGTCCACAGCGCCGTGAATACGAACAACAAAATGCTAATCATGATTTCCATATCAACCTGTCTTAGAGCACTAAGGTGGGGAAAGACAAAGGTGGCGGTGCAGATGGGTGCAGCACACTGTGTGTGTGGTACAGATAGCTCAGGGAAATTTACTCCACTATTCTCACAAATACCATCACTGATTTGTGGAATAGTGGAAAGAAAAAGATCTTCACCGTCGCTCTCCACTAAATTCTGGAGATGACAGACGTTGTTACACTACAGTCAGGAGTCTTGACACATTTCTAGTCCCACCATAAGGAGGATGGTCTAATGTAGATATTAGAATATGGTAACATGGACTCTGCTTTAGTTAAAGAATGGTAGCAAAAGTGGGAACAGTGCTATCCCTTGATCCACATAGCTGTATTTCAGTAGGTAATCAGAATACCAGCATACCTTTATTAATAAGACATGATATTTGTTCCTACTCTGTGGAAATAAGATGTCACCTCTCTGTGCAACAGAGGAGATGGTTCTGCTCCATGAAGCGATTTCCTTGCCCTACCTGCTCAGGATGTAAAAAGAAGGCTGGAATTTGAAATGGAAATATTGCCACTGCAGAAGGACAATCACTCAGCTGGTGCTTCCCTGGCACCAGGGAAAGCACAGGGTGAATACCCACCTGTTCTGCATCTACTCAGTATTATAATATTGTTTGGCTGTTTATGGTATCACTCTGGTCTGCTGTACCCAGGGTGAGCGAGAGGCATCACACGTGGCAGAGGAGGATTTCAACTGCCACCCTGAAAGCCTGGGCTGGCAGATGAGGCAACTCGTGCACACAATTGATTGTGGACTATTAACCTAGGCCCAGAAATCAATATTCACTTAACACCACATTTTAACAGGCAAATGCAGTACAAAATAACAGCAGTTACACAGTGTACACATTTACACTCAGAGTAAACAGGTTCATGAAGCAGAGCTTGGCAGAGGAGGAGGAGATCAGGCAGGCAGCATGGAAGGGACAATGACAACGAGAGCACGTGGAGAGGTACAAGGTAGTGGCAGCTTCCAGAGATTTTTTGTGACTGAATGTCGTGGGGGTTTTGTGGTCAATACAACTTAAATGAGCTATATGTATTCTCTAAGTATAACTAAGAAGGTTCATCCTAAGGCTGGGAAAGGTCATCCTTTGCTAGATAAGACTAAATTTGCTGGAGTTGAGCACAGAAGAAGTCCATCTTAACCCACAAAATCCAAGTCTGTTGCTAGCTGTGATAATGGATTATACAAATATACGCTGCAAGGGGCAAAACAGAAAGGAGCAAGAGTAAAAATTGTAGTATAGTGTCCTTGAGCTGGAATGGTCTTTTCCATATACTCAAAAGAATGGATTTGAAAATGGGATTGAAAGTAATCCAGAATTGCTGTTTACCAGGGACTTCATGTTTATTGAACTTAACTTGCAACCCACCCTGGAGTGTGGACTTGCAGTCTTTAGGATGGAATGCTGTGCTCTGTGCCGTGACAAGCTTGAGGAGTGGACCCACGTGAACCTCATGAAGTTCAACAAGGCCAAGTGCAAGGTCCTGCATCTGGGTTGGGACAACCCCCAAAATCAATACAGACTGGGGGATGAAGGGACGGAGAGCAGCCCCGCACTTGCAGGTACGGGTAGATGAAAAATTGGATGTGGGCCAATAATGTGCGCCTGCAGCCCAGAAAGCCATACTGTATCCTGGGCTACATGAAAAGCAGCGTGCCCAGCAGGGCGAGGGAGGGGATTCTCCCCCTTTACGCTACTTGGGAGTCCTGCGTCCGGCTCTGGGGTGCCCAGCACAAGACAGACATGGACCTGTTGAAGCGGGTCCACAAGAGAGCCACAAAACCAATGAGAGGGCTGGAACACCTCTCCTATGAAGAAAGGCTGAGACAGTTGGTGTGGTTCAGCCTGGAGAAGAGAAGGCTCTGGGGAGACCTTATTGTGACCTTTCAATGCATAAAAGGGGATTATAAGGAAGATGGAGAGAGACTTTACCAGGGCCTGTAGTGACATAACAAGGGGAAATGGTTTTACATTGAAAGAGGGTAGGTGTAGATTAGACATAAAGAAGAAATTTTTCATTCTGAGGGTGGTGAGACCCTGGCCCAGGTTGCCCAGAGAAGCTGTGGCTGCCCCATCCCTGGAGGGGTTCAAGGGCAGGTTGGACGGGGCTTGGAGCAACCTGGTCTGGTGGGAGGTGTCCCTGCCCAGGGCAGGGAGGTTGGAAGAAGATGATCTTTAAAGGTCCCTTCCAACTCAAACCATCCTGTGATTGTATGCCTGAGGAAGAGCTCCAGAAGGTGGGGTGGTAGGACGCACTGTGTCAGGTCCCTCCCTGCAGTCAGAAATGGAACCCTGCCCAAGTTCTGACAGAACTTGTACCTTTGTTTTAAAATATTGTGCTGGAATATTAGCCTGACTGTTACTCTAACTGCGAAGGTGGCAGAAGCAATACAACGATGGTCACCGTATCTGCGGAGCTTGGTGCAAACTGACTGGGGAAGGTCAGGGGGAGGATGTCAGTGTCTGCCGTTCTGGGTTAAGGCTCTTCCATTCCATTTTTCTGGAAGCCTTCTCTTTCCCAAAGGTAAATCAATACTGGGAGGTACCTGGATATGGAATGCGGTTAATAATATGGGAAGGAAAGATGCTATTTATGCCAAGTTAACATGAGCTCAGCAACAGAGGCAGGAACAGAGCCAGAGATGGCCAAGAAACAGCAGCTCCAGAATAGACAGAGGAGGCCATGGGCATACTGCTGTGTTCGGAGATGTCTCGCTGTGCCTTCCCTTCAGCCACCTATGAAAGGACAAGGAGGAATGAATCCCAGTTAGACACATTTATGCTCAAATGCTTGGCTGCAGAGCGCCCTGTTCTGAGCACTAATGGGGGGTTACAGGAAAGTCCCATGGCCTCCTGTCTCTGCTTGTCTGTTAAGGAATAGCTTGAGGTAAACTGGTCCAGGGCTCTGCATGCACGTGGCATCCCTTGCTTTGGTGTCCGAAATCGGACATTTCCAGCTCCGAGGTTTTCCAGCTACTGTCTCTACGCCACTTGACTCGCTGCTTTGTGAAGGCAACAAAGCAATGCATACCTGGGACATCTCTGAAGCGAGAGCTGTGCTGGCACTGTCTCCTTGGAAGCTTAGGGAAGATGAATAAAATAAGTCTTCCTGCCTTTCTAGAGCTGTCTGCTTCAGGTGCATTTGAGACAAAATGGTATTTTCTGCAAACAGAAGGAAAGCAAGAGTCTTATTGTGCTTTTTCTGTGCGCACCTTGGAGTTGTGAACAGAAGCCTAGGGAAGCTATTTTAGGAAATGCACTCACAGGCCGTGTGGCTTTGATTTAGAAGATACATATTCTCTGTTCAGTCAGTGCCCTGTTAGCTTGTCGGTTTACTTACGAGGTCGAGCAGACTGCAAAGCCAATTTGCGCTGTACTTGAGGACCTTTGGGTCCCTCTGGGACTCTCGCAGCTGTCTGTTTTGTAAGGGGCAGGTACGTAATACCTCAGATGGGATGTTTAGGTTGAAGGTGTATCTATAGTGCTGGGTGCAAGGCTTTTCTATACAGCAGGAGGTAGGTTTAAATATTAATCATTTATCTAATGCTGCTGGTTTCTTTGATATCCTTTGGAAGCTTTTACAAACATAAAATATTTAAATCTTAATAAGGTCTGTTGCTAAAATGTTAGGGACATAAAGAAATACAGACTTAGGATTACATGGTTGCATTTAACAGGGTTTTTGTAACTGCAGTGCTGCTGAATTCAGTGACCTGTGTCAGGAGCTGCTTCCCTTGACTAAGCAAGCAAGGGCCAAAGGTGAGCACAGGGAGAAGGGGGGGGGGGGGGGGGAAGGAACCCAAAGCCCATAATCCTGGTGCACTGACGTGGTTACAGCAACCTCTGGATGCAGCGTGTCTGACCTCCCCGGGTGGTGGGGGTTTTTGCACCCCCTTCATTTGAATGCTGTTTGGAAATAGCTTCATGGGGTTTGAGATGAACTAAAGTGTTGCCAAAATATACAGAAACAGTTCTGAGAGCAGATCCAGGCTGGTCTCATAGGTTGGGAAGGAGACCATGGGGACACAACACATTGTAGGATCTTGAAATCAACAGGATTTGAGTTTCCCTGTGCTGAGCTGTTTCTCTGGTTCTGTGATGTTTGATGCTTACCAAGACATTTGTTGCTCTCAAACATGCCGAGTATCTGGTCACACTTCTCCTTCTGGTTGCCGCTGCTCTCGCACGTGCACCACAGGGAGATCTCCACGCTGGCATTACTGATGTAGTTGGGTGTCATGGGCGTACCTGTCCCAGACCCCCAGAAACTGCAATCAGGATTCACGTCACCAAACAATGGCAGCCTCATGTGTCCTATCCCACTAAAGGGAATGCTGCCCTGGGGGGAGGCGCCTTCCCTTGGGAGCCCCGCGAGGTGACCCTGGCCTGGTGACTCTGCTGGGCTGCCAGGAGTTGCTGCCCCTGACGCTGGCAGTCTGGTGGAGGCTGCACTGATAACTGAAGCTGCTGCAGGTGTTGGATCGAAGAGTGAGAAGCACCTGCTGGGACATGGCAACAAAAGCCAGACATGCTGCGTGGCCACACGCGTTTTGCCAAACAAATGCTGCACACCCATAGCGTGCCATTCAGCCAGAGTTCATTTAGCATAAAACCAGCAAAGACATCTGGAAAAGCAGAAGGCACAGTCTAGATTTAGAGCTTATGAGATACTGCTCTTCTTTGCAGCCACTCTGAAAAAGCACGAGCAGGTTGGCAGCAAATGCCTAAAACGAAAGACAACCTCCCTTCTCACGGCTGGTAGTGCCATGTTCTGGCTGGCTCTGAGAGGACAGTGTGTGCGATGCTACCAGACCATCAGGAGTCAAACCAGCAGGGAATGTCCCGTCTAATCCCTGTGATGGGATGTGACTCGTGCCACACGAGCGACTTGGTCCCTGCAGGTCCTGGTGGCCAGAGCAGTTTGCACCAGCTGATGGTGTAGGTACTCAGAAATCTCAGGCAAGTGCTGCTGATTTGACAGCAGAGGATGGGACAAAGGAGAGTGATAAAGGCTATGGCAGAGCTCTCTCTGGGCTGCATTTACCTCAGAAGTAAGAGGGAGCACCAGCATCAATCAGGCTGAGGCATGTTAACTGGCAGACTGAGCACTGTCTCCTGCGGGAGAGCAAGAGGGTCCTTCACAGCATCAGAGCATGCCTGCGAGTTTGTGGCCCGAAAGCATCCACCCCGTGTGCTGCTGCGGGTACCACTCACCGATCATGCCCATGTAGGCCTGCAGGCAGGCGGCGTGGCCCTGTGGAGCGCAGCCGTCCAGAGACGTGTCCGCGGGCTGACAGTTCTGTTGGAAGTCGGCCAGCCGGGATCTGTAGGAAGAAAAAGGAGACTATCAGTGCCTATGCTCTGCTCTTCTCTTCTCTTGGCTAATGTCTGCTGCTACTGGACCTACTTGCAAATATGGTCTTCTAAGCAGGAGTCCAGAAGCCAGAGGCAGTTGGGTTTGGTGTTATACTGGAAGGAACAATCAGGAACAATAGTTTTCCGGCGTCGCTCTCCACAAAGTTCATCTTGACATGGACAGAAAAGGATCCTTTTGGTGAAATCCTCAGGAACTTTCTCAAAGAAGTTCCTTAGCCCTCTGTGGCATTTGCGGCGGTCACACGTGTCCTCGCTTCCCGCTCCCTTGGTGCAGATGGAGGCATACTCCGTGCGCAGGCGAACACACTTCTTGCTCAGGTTACAGACGTGAGTTGCTTTCAGGCACGGATTTGTTGCATCTCCTGCTAACTGTGAGCCTGTAAAGCCAAAAGAAACCCAGAAAGAGTGAAGCAAGTCTCCAGAAGATATTCTGTGTGGAAACAGGAGTAGCCCTTACTTGATGGTCAGATTGGGAACATGAAAAAGAGCAAAGCAAATTAGTCCTGCTGCGTGCCTGTAGCGTGGCAATACAGTTACGACATCGTATTTCCTACTGGTTCATGTAGGGTGTTTCAGAAAATGCATCATTGTGGGTTATTCCCTGCTTCATGGGCCTGGATCTGCGGCGTTATTTACACTTGGTGGGGGGACAAACTCAGGCAAGTACCCAGAGCAGGCGTCCCTCTGATTGAAGGGACCATTACCCCAAATAGGTCATCTTAATATTTTCAGCCCCTGAAAAGATAAGAAAGGGCAGCATTATGTCAGGAAACCATTACAATCCTTACCTGATAACAGAGCTGCCAGTTTATTATAATCTGTCTTCCAATGTTCCTCATTTGCTGGATTCTCATAAGGAGAGGTCTCCAAATTGAAATAACCTAGGTGAGATACAAGATATTTTATGCAGTGAGAGAAATGCTTTGTGACCAGCATTTGTTTGGGTTTTTTAAACTGATTTTTTTCTTATTTGTGCCTGGGTGTTTCCTTAGGTAGGAGTTCTGAAACGCTCTATCTTGCTGAAAGCCAAATGCCAAGAATCTGGTTCTGCTGGAGATGCAAGAGTGTTACTGTGTCAAAACAGCACTACGTTTTATTGGGAGATTTCCTCTGGCTGAAATTTGGCCTGTGTTGTCATTTGGGTTTTTCAGGCTCAGCACTAGCAGGAGAGGGGCAGCTGGGGCAGCCTTTAGCAGGAGGCAGGCAGCGGCGTCCCACCAAGGCTGGAAGGCAGCAGCATGCTCAGGGATGCCATTACAGCATGTGTCATAATGACACCTCCGTTTTCAGTGATGGACAGACATGACCATTTTGAGGTGATTTTCACAGCAGTCTCCCCTCACAGCACTAACTCTGTCTCAGAGTAGCTATCTTTGTTTCTTAGGGTCCCTGGTGTATTTGAAGGGCTGGTCCCAGAGGGGATTGGTTTTCTCTGTTTATCAAACAGAGCAGCAGAGACTCCTCCACCCTGGGAGATGTGGCTCCAGAGTGATACCTGCAGTGCTGGGGAGAGGCCTTTTGCAGTTGTTTTCAGATGGGGGCAGGGCTGAGCCCTACAAGTACCTTGTAGATTCATATTACTTCATCTCACCATCTGTCATGCTGGAGTGAACGGTCCAGAAAACGCGTAAGCAGTGCTCCTGCCTCTTCATGCGGCGGTGGCACCGGCAGTGCAGCAGAGAGCTGTTCCCCAAGTCCAGCTCCGCGCCCAGACACCTCACCCTGCCCTCCTGGTCCAGCGGGAGGAGGCGGCTCTTGGCCAGGGCACAGCTCTCCAGGACTCTGTAGGTCGCGTTGCAGGTGGAGTCGGAGAGACACTGCTGTTCCGCCGCGATGCAGTCGCTCCTGGGCAGAGCCAGGAGGTCTCCTTTGAGGAGGGAAAAGGCCGTTAGGGTTACAGTCGTGATAAATGGCACACAGGCACCTTGTCGTTGTTCGGTGGGCATCCTGTATGCATCAAGGACCCCTCTCAAGGGGCAGAACTGGTTGGGATCTTTCATATGGAGTAGTAAGGAACAAGAATGGTTTCCATTTAGAAACAAAAGGATGACTATTAATGTATGAAAGAGGGAAGAAAAGGTTAAAGAAAAGTCTCAAGAATAATTTTGCTTGATAAACCCTTTTTTAATCACCATTAACTCCTTCAACTTGGACAGGATCAGGGATGGCTCTGTATTTTATGGACTAGCAAATCCCTGTGGAAACCATGGCATTGCTGAGGCTTGCTCTAAAGAAGCTCCACTATCTGGGTAATGAAAACCGCAGTGCAATAGGGACACAGCAACACGGTGCTGTGCTGTCAGTCAGTGCTGCTGCCACTGCTAAAGGGTCTGCTGGTCATTAAGAGATGTACTGGGAAAGCCATTTGTGGGGTGTAAAAACTACTTTACTGAGCTTGGAAATGTAGGAATAAGAATGGGGGGTTTTTTGCATAATAGAAGAAATCTTTAACATAAGATGCAATAATTTCATCTAGAAGTACTGATGCACAATCAATTTAAGAATATAGAACCCAGTCCTTGAAATTCCTCCCAAAAATGCTGGGATGCAGGCTTGGCCTGCCAGCTTTCATCTGTTGGTTGGCTGTGAACTCTGACTGTATCTGTGTATTTGTGTAACATATGCATTGATTACACACACACATATGCACCACCTCATATGGAAGTATTAAATAATCTCAATTTAACAATGTAATCTTTAAAACTAGACTTTTTTTTTCAGCTTTTAAAAATTTTTATATGGGCTGTTGTTTCCTGAGGACAATCCTGGGGTAATACCTAGCATGATTTTGTCACGGGTAGGTGAATTTAGTCTGTAATCTTTCTTAATTTCTGTAGTATATGAATCTGTGTTTATAGTACAAGTACAATGAAGACCTGAAACAAGACTGTTTGCTAATAAAATTTATATATGGGCTAGTATGGTTCTTTGCCTCAGGACAATATTGCTTGGCTGGTTTTAGGAAACGACTGTGCTGAGCCTTACATCTGCCTTTAATGTTCTTTGTTCTTTCATCTAATTTTTTCTCTCACTTCCTTCACTTTTGCTGGCTCCATCAGTTTATTTGCTGTAAGCAGTAGGCTGTGTAATTCTATGCTCAGCTGCTTCTCAATCTTTCTACTTTTCCTACAGCCCAGTATTTGGGTGTCTCTGTCACACTTGTACAAATTTCTTTGCTTTTCTAGCAACTTACTGTACTTTGTTGTTCACCTGGCTGCTAAGTAGAGACTGTATGACTTTGTAAGCTCCCTGAAAAACCAGTCTCTCATCAGAAATGCTTTGTATGCAGCACAGTGGGTTTTGGTTAGGCATTACACCTAGGCACAACCTTAATGAACATCAGTGAACTGATGATCTGTCCCACCAGGCACCAAGATGGTACCCAAAGTACCATCTCCCCCAGCATCCCATCTCCAACAGTGGCTTGCAGCAGCTGCTGAAGGAAGTTCATAACAGGATGGGAAGAATTCTGCTCAGCAAGGAGCTGAGCTTGAAGTGGCATTTTTTAAACTTTGATAAGGTAATTGCCAGGCTAGAGCAGAGATGGGTGTAAGTGGAAGGACTGTGTTTCTACCACATGTCTATACCAGATGCTTCAGGTGAAGCTGCTGTAAACCTCAAATTTAAAACAGTCCTTCTCTACAGACATGGCTTAATAGCTAATCACTGTCTTAAGCCCTAATACTGGATGTGTTGTTTCATTTTCTAAAACAGTGTCTTAGTATTCCAGATAATAATGTGAAAGAATGAGAAAGCTAATTCTTTCCTAGAGCTATGGGGTAGGCTGCAGAGCATGTTAAATATGCATGTGTACTGGAGTCCCTTCTGTAGTTTAAAAAAAAAAAAAAGTTAAAAGGTAATAATCAATTCACAGACTATGATTATTTATACCTTAGAAAAAAAAGAGATAGGTAATAAGATACTCCTTTATTCTCCTTTTTCACTCAACGTCCTGTCATGTATATATGTATTGTTTTGCTGGTCCTGGTGCACCATGCCATTGATAGAGAGGATGACTGCAGAAGGGAAACCTTTTCTTTTCTAAGCACAGTTAGCAAAGAAGCATTAGTATTTGGACATGGAAAATCTATTGTAATCATGTGGCTGCAAGTGCTACCGAGGTCTCGGTGCAACAGCCCGGTTTTATAGCAGTCATCGTGATATTCAGCAGCTGCAGCTTTTTCTGACTGTGAAGCACCGACATCCCGTAGCCGGGTCCGGGAGCGCTTCAGAGCAGTTCTGTAATTTCAGGATTTCTAGTCTCATCAGCCATGAAAATGACACAGGAGACGAATTGGAAACAGGAGTTATTTCTCTCCTCGGTTCCTCTGACCTGGCAGCAACAGAGGCAGCACGGAACGAACCGCGGCATCTCCGGGATGGTCCCCGCGAACCGAGCCGTCCCCCGGAGGTCCCGGCCTGGAGCGGTTCCGACCGGGACGCGCGGAGGGCGGCCGCGGCAGCGAGAGGGGCAGGAGGGCTCTGCGCGGAAGGTCCCGCCGGCGCTCAGCCCCTTTGCGCCCCGTCTGCGGCCGTGAGGGCTCAGCCCCGGGCTCCTGCCCCCGCCGCCCCCGGGATCCCCGCGTCTCCCGGCGCTCGCCGCCGCGGCTGCAACCCCCGCCGCCGCTCGCCCTTCCCGCCTGGAGCGGCCGCCCGGGGCAGCCGGAGCTGCTGGCGGGAGAGACGGGCAGCGGGGG